TGGACGCGCTGATCACCCCCGAAATGCGACGATTTGTCTTGACCTATGTGCTTCCTGCACTCGCAGCACAGACACAGCGCATCAGCGGGGTCGCCCCACAATTCAATTACAGCAATGTCGATGACGGTGAGGAGTTTATCCTTTGCCTTCATCCTCAGTGTCTGACCATTCGTAGAATCGTAGCGTACGGCTGCAGGCTGCAGGTAAACTTCGATGCCAGCGGGATCGCGTCTCGCGAGTACACTACCCCGGCGCAGTATCGCTCTAAATCCGATGCCAAGGTCGCGGTAGCGTACCTCACCGCGCAACAGGGCGTCCTCGATCTCCTGCGGTTCGACGGCAAGCCGATCCCAGTAGACGAATCGCCGGCGTTTGTGTTCCAAGACGGCGTCCCCCAGTTCGCGCAGCCACCCAAGAAGAAGAAGAAGAAGCGGAACAAGGGTGACGAAGGCCGGGCGCGGGGCCCACCCGTGAAGAAGCAGAAAATCGGCGCGGAGGCAGGTGGCGGAGGACACGCACGTCCCATGAAATCTGTTGCGACTGGAACTGCGTCTCTACCCCCGAAACCGATGAGCAGTCAATTTTCTGACCCGGCGTACTATGGGTCAGGGCGGGTTTCTGGCCCGACACTGATGCCGACACAGATGGCACGCAATCCTGTCCCTGTGCGCGATGATTGTGGTTTGCGACTCCGCCGGTCTCTCAGCATGGAGGAAGGGGAAATCTCGTCATGATGGGCGGCGACGGAGGCACTCAACTACATTGTTTCTCTCATCTTCCAAGCAAGCTTTGGACTGTATTGTTCCTGTAATTCGCTTATAATTATTTTAACGAAACTCATCTCACCGTTACCACCGACACTTTCCTTACTGTAAGGTATTGGTAAGGTACATATGTGCTTGTTCCATTCATTCCAAATTAAGCGCACATAACACGTGACCCCACTCACACTTACGCGTCGTTCCTCTTACTCTCATGAACCACTTTCCGCTCAACTGGGGTCGCCCTGTACGTCGCTCTGTGCATTCTAGCGATATCCCAGCTGCTTACCTCGTCGCAGAGAAACGATGCTGTGGACCTCTACGGCACATTCCCCATCACGCAGCGCCCGAATCACCACCCAAAGGACGCCTTCTCGGCGGGCATCCAGCACACACAGCAGCCCATCGTCACAGGAACGAGCGTCCTCGCTATCAAGTACAAGGACGGCATCATGATGGCCGCCGACAACCTTGGTGCGTCTCCATCGCTAAAATTATTGTATCTCATACACTAATGTCATTTTCGCGCCATGCAGCCTCGTACGGCTCACTCGCGCGCTTCCGCGACATCCAGCGGTTACACCCGGGGGATCACACGGTGATTGGCGCTGGCGGCGACATGAGCGACTTCCAATACATCCAGAGCATCCTCACGAGCTCATGATCGACGAGTTCGCGGCACAGGACGGGCACGCGATTGGCCCCGCGGAGGTGCACAACTACCTCTCGGAGCTCATGTGCGCGCGCCGCTCGAAGATGAACCCGCTCTGGAACGCGCTGCTCGTCGGCGGGTTCAAGGACGGGCAACGGTGCACGAGCACGTTTCTATTAAAATATGAGTTGAATGCTCATGGAAGAGGGCAGGTTCCTCGCGTTCGTGGATCTGGTGGGGACGACATACTCAGCGTCAACGCTCGCGACGGGGTATGGTGCCCATATTGCGCAGCCGCTGCTTCGCCAGCAGGTCGAGGGGCGCGAGGACACACTGACGGAGGAGGAGGCGCGCAAGATTATCCAGGAGAGCATGAAGGTACTCTTCTATCGCGACGCGCGCAGTCTGGACAAAGTGCGTTTTCGTGTTGTTTTTCTGATGTTGGTCTCGTACTGAGACCCTTCCACCAGTACCAAATTGCGACGATTACTGCCGCAGGTGTGCACATTTCCGACTCGATGAAGCTCGAGACGTCCTGGTCGTTCGCGGAGGGTATACGAGGGTACGGTGCACAGACGCAGTAGTTTGGTGTAAAAAAAATCAATCGTTTCTCTGTTTGATATTCCACCCGAAACCCGAGGTTTTGACTGTTTGAGCAGTCAGATCACTCGCAGCACTGTCGCAGCTAACGTTGTGGTCTTGCAGGCGACGGTAACAGATTTCTTGCATGACGTCATAATTGAAATCCTCGCTCTCTCGACTGCGAAAGAAATTCGACAGCAAGATTTGGGGCATACATAGTACATTCATTCGTCGTGTACCTGCTCGGAGAGTCCTTATGTGAAATGCGCCTGATTTTGCGCTCACAAGTTGCGCAGCGCGCTGATGGTTAAATTGCACCCTGCTTTTATGCGAGTTGCGCGAGGATCGTCTTGGCATCGGTGACGGTGAGCTCGCTGGGCACCTGTTCGACAGCGATCGTCTCGACTTTGTCCCCGTTGGCGACAATGACGAAGCGCTATCTGAAACACAAAAGTAAGGAACGAGCATCGTGTAGGAATAACCGAAAGGAAGTGGGGAAGGACGGAAGGAAAACATACTTTTGAGCGCACGCCTCCGAGGATGGACGTCGCATCGAATACGAGACCGAGCGCAGAGGCGAATGCGCCACTGTCATCCGAGATGAAGCGCACCGCTAGCGGGGCTGGTGTCGGGTGAGCCGCCGCAATATGACGGACTGAAAACACATACCCGTTCCGCTGGGCGCGAGATTCTCCTTCCACGCTCTGTCCAGCAATTGTGAGCGTCAGTAGCTCAATATATCGCACGGTCAAAAACACACTTGAGAACAAAGACGTCGTTCCCGGCAACCACGGCGATCTGTTCAATGCCGTGCTCCTCGAAGGCGTCGAGCTGCGAGATGTAGCCCCCAGGACCTGCGCGTGGCAGGTGCCCGTAAAAGCCCCGGCACACCGATCTATACCATGACATATATTCACGATACTGGAGCGGGAGCGAGGGAGACACACGATGATGTGCTTGCCCGCAGGGAAGGCGAACGGCACGGCCTTGTCCGCCGCGTCTTCCTTGACGGGCACCGATGGTAGGGTCGACCCAGGTTGCACCTGCGCGACGTCTGAGGCTCCGATGGAGGTGGCGACCGAGTTCACGGAGCGGAGGGCTTCAGAAATGAAGGACATGATCAGTTTCTGAGTACGGGATGGATGTTAATGCGAGAAGTGAACTTGAAAGTGAACGTCAACGGCAGAGTCGACGCGTGTCAATACGAGAGGGTCAACGGGGTGAGTGAACGAGTTTTAAAGCTAGCAGCTATTTATATGAAGCACGGCAGGAGCCGCGCCAATCTAAGACTCACCAAGCACCTGCACGCGTTGGCGTTGGGTACACGGGTGTGGACTGCTGCGGAGAACAGACTGCGGCTGGACAGCTTGTGCCCGCAAACGCTGAGACGCAACGGAGCGAAGGGCGGCCGTAACCGACATGGGGGGTCTCATGGTGGTTGGAAGGAAAGAGAGAATTTGCAGCGCCTCCACTCAACGCCATACTTACTTAGGCCTCTTGTTATTTTGATTCTGGAAAATTTGTATGTACGAATTCAACAACTACGTCCCGTTCTAGTAGGCTTCTACGTCCCGTTCTACTTGGTAACGGCCCGCCGAACTCAATTCTTGATACCGCCATATCCGCGAGCAGGCCTCCCTCCAAAAGCCGCCGTGGAGCGTGTTAGGAGATAAAGACAAAGGTGTTCGGTAATCTCTCGGTGAACGCATGCAGCATCTCTTACTGTGTCCGGCGTGTTATGAAGGATTGTCTGCATCATATGAGTCTCATCAAGAGAACAAAACTATTTCCACCGACCAATGGGAAGCCACGACCTCGAGGAAGTGATTCGAATAGCCATCCCTCAGCTCCGCGTTTTCACCATCTGACAACGCATCAAATGTTTCGATTCCTACGATACCTAGAAATCGGATTGACCAAGCGCAGTTAAGACGCGTCGCTTGACAACTCTAGAGTCCCCTTTTTTCTCCACAAAAGGCGTGTTTATATTGCAACATTGAGAACAATTTAAGTCTTCACCACTAGCACTGCAAGAATCTACTATTGCACCCCAGTAGACCGTTGGTTCAACATGCGGCAATCTGACTGTCACATGAAGTACTGCTGCATGTGGAACACGGTGCTATGGCGGCTGAGTTTTCAAGCACAAAGTTCGTTACAGTCAAGTCACAGTGAGAATATCTCTCAGAGGATTGTTCGACTAAATACTCAAACCACACCAACTGATCGCATAGAAATGCTGCTTTGGGACACCCGATTGACAAAGCGAAGTTCCCGTGGCGGTTATATCAGTTATTAAAGAGGTCGCAATGTAGGTTCCGTTGATGATCAGGTTTCGACCTGAATCTCAAGTTGTCCAACAAAATATATCCACACCGCAACAAAATCAATTTCCGTAAAAGCATGTCCAGTATCGCTCAACAGCTATATTCTCAGGCGGCGTCCGACTCTATGACTTACTATCGATGCTTTAATGCATTTTATTCACCAATGTCGACAACTGCGGACCAAATTCAATGTGATCACTTTTCACCACTCCAAGATTAATTTGCAGATAACTTTGTTTAAGACGAAAATCAAGGGGTTTCGGGGGGATTCTATGTTGTGATGACTCCATACTAATCAGCCTGTCGATATATCTCAAATCCTTACAATGTGAGGTCTCGGACGACATGCAAAAAAATGGCCGCACTGTGGCTGTGTTGCCGCGTTGAACATGGATGGATGATGGTTGGACTTTAGTGGGGCCCTGGGGGCCCACAGTTTAAAAAATCAACAATGTCGGGATTGGGGATGAGTATCAGGCGTTGCTGAAACACTACCGCAGTAGTGCAGCATTGCTTGTGCAAGTGCCGCATGAGTACCGCATGACTGCCGCTGGCTTGAAACCATCGACTGCCGCATGCATGTCACGTAAGCCTAACCCTAACTAGGGTTAGGGTTAGGTTCATCGACGAGCGGGATATATGGACTCCTTGCAAAAATTCTGCATCAATCCCAATCCACGCCCGACCAGGAGTCGAACCCGGATCGTCTCCGCACCAGATGAACCACAAGTATCGGCAGGAGGTGTTCTTACCGTTGAACTATCGAGGCACGACACCTGACACGCGGATGCGGGTACTGTAGTATTTCGACCAAGTATTCAGGGCATGTCACGAGAAAGTATTCATTTTCTCAAGTCTTCATTTCTCGGCTATCACGACAAAATTCCCATATATGGACCTCCGGCGGATGCCGGAGCGAAAATTTTCGTTTTTCTTTGGCCAATTTGGGCCTCGAAATCGATTGTCACCGTCACCAAGTCCGAAAGTCTTCAATTCAGAGGGCCGCGTCACGCGTCACCTGAATACTTGGTCGAAATACTACAGTATCTGCAGGCGCAGGCTCGACCTTGCAAAAAGGAAATGTGGGTCGACACGCCCTGACCAGGAATCGAACCTGGGTCGTTCTCCACGAGGTGATGAGCACATTAATCGATGGAGACGCTTTACCCACGGAAGCTACCAGGGCACCTTCACGGAAGGGGAGTAGGATACAATGGCAGAGGGGAGGAGCGGATACGCCCATTGGTTGCCGAACCGTGGGAGAGCGATCAGGCCGACGAACAGCGGATCACTTCGACATTCCCGGTGAAACGCGACAACTACGTTGCAACTACGACGAAAACGATGGGGGGACAGGGTGTCTTTGAAACGGTGGCACTAGAACTCTGTTTTCTATGGTCTCCAAAATGGTCGGCCAGAATGGCCCCTGTTCGATTCAAACGTGCAAAATAACATTCCTTGGGGCATTTTTCAAGTCTCAAATCCTGGCCGTGAACTATGATCAGAGTAAACCCAAAGTAAACCTCAAATGCATGCAATTTTGTCAAATTTGGAGACACTCTTTGGCTTGACTTGTTCCAAATATCCAAATCATCAGAAAAAAGGGAAGGCGGTTCGTCCTCTACATTGGGGAAAATAATGAAAAAGCGGGGCGCGAGCTACGGCCACCTTGACGGCCACTGCGGGAGTCGAACCCACATCGGTGCTATTGATCGTAACGTGTACCTCGTGTCGTACCAATGTGATGAAGGAAGCCATGGCGCTAGAATCGGACGGCGAGAAAACATCGGAGGAGGAGGAGGAGGAGGTTGTATTACCTTTGTAAGTTTAGACGATTTTTTGTTTTTGTTTTGTTTTTTTGAAAAAGAAAAAAGAAAAAAAGTTGCTCATTGCATGCACTTTGACGGCTGCTGTGGGAGTCGGACCCACATCACGGGTAGACTGATATATTGATGGCCATATGGACACCGTGTCCTACCATTAGACCAAGCAGCCGGGATAACAGAGAGTAACGAACGGGAGGGTACGGTGGCTGGTGTCGACAAACAGGTGCCTAGATTGCGGTGGGTGCGGTGAGCAGCCGGAACAAGCGCTAAGGTGTGGATCCGTCCAAACCGACCGCGCCTGGAATCGAACCAGGGGCTCCCAGTGGGATCTCAAAAAGGGACAGATGGCGGGAGAGTTGCCAACTTGCCACTACCCCACACGGCTGGTGAGGGTATGAAAGCGTGCACAGCGACCATGCGATCGAAAATACGTTCACACGGCACACGAAGGCGAGATAGGGCCCCGCGCGAGCGGAAAAAGGCCTCGCGCCAGCGAAAGAGGCCAGCGCCAGCGAAAATGATGGGGGGAGCTTCCCCCTATAACGTCGGGAACGAGACTAGGTTACTATGGGTTACCGAAACAGACGTGGGAAAGAATATCACTTTCGGGCCAGTCTCCTCGCGAGATCCACAGCCGGTAGATACATGTTAAGATGGGATTTGCGGAGGTACAATGCCTCTTCCCGCCCGTAGAATCATGTGCATTGTGCGTGGCTGTTTCACCCCGTCGTGAGCTGTCGTGAGACGTACCTGTTGATGTGATGGGCCACGAAGCGTTGGCTCTCGCAGAATTTGCCGATTTCGATCGATCGGACGATTTTTTGAAATAAGAAATCAGGGCATATAAAGGTGCAACTATCATCGTGAAGCCAACCATGGCAAGTGCAATCTCAGATCCCTGGTGGGTCATCCGGAACTCCACCGCGATTACAACGCTGTTTCAGTACTGCGGGAAGATGATTGTGCCTCCCTTGGTGCCCTCTGTCAAACAAGCAATCGATAAAGCCATAAAAGATCTGGTGAGTGTCGCGTACATCAATCTTCTGTCTCCTTGCGCCAGTCTAAAACCACGCCTAGGACGCTCACGAAGAGTTCATGCGAATGTCCGCTAGCGAGGAGGCCCCCCGAGTTCTTGCGCCATTCTTTGTGGAGTTGCGCAAACTATTCTTTCAAGTCCTGCCACCCGACGACCTGAGGGCCTACGAGGCAACCTTTCGATGGATGGATGGATACGCGTATGAGGTTGGTTGCCTCCATGCTCTTTCCGCTATCCAGTTCCTTATGCTGTATGTAGGTGCCCCCCTTCCAACCATCTTTCAAGATACCCCAAATCCAGAACAAACAGGTAAGCCGGTGCTGGGTACACACGCACGCACTGTTGTCACATCATTATCTAGGCCGTCCTCGGTGTATGTGCTAACCGTCATATTGCACATCCTTTCTCAACGGTAACAGGATCCGAATAGAATTCAGGATGGCCAGATGAGCAGTGGGGTTCAGAAGCGCGTAAGTTCAGATATCATCTTTGTCACCAGGACTCTGATTGATTGTACTCACCGGAAGCACGACCGTGGCGTTCGTATGCAAATTGTCCGTCAGTCGGACGATACGTCCCAACGTGGACGGCTGAGCCGAATCTTGAACACCACCCACGAGGCTGCTAAAGCAGTAAGCCATGTGTTTATCGCACTTGATGTCTTCCGGTGATAATTCCTCTTCCGCAGTCATCCGCCCCTACGTTGACAGCGGAAGGCGTAAGTTGCTCCTTTCGTCTTCTCTTAGTTTTGGGCACACCAATGAACTATATACAAGGTCTCGGCGCATGTAGTGCGAAAAACGGAGAAACCGTTCGAGGGCACACACAAGGTCATTTCTTCTTTCTTTGTTACAATGTTACCACTACTGACGAGGAGTTGAAGGCGAAGGACGTGCAAAGCGTTGAACGCGAAAACGTGAACAGAGGAGTGCATGCATCAAGTATATCTTGTATATAAACCGCTGATGTTTACATCATTTCATAGTTGTCCAGCTGCGCGCGCGTTACTCCCGCAGAACGGAAGATTGTGAGACACTCGGTGGTTAATGTCTGATTCACGTTAACATCAGCTCAGGCACCGGAGGTAGCCCCGCAAAGTGGGGGAAGCGACTCACATTCGAGTGCTTACCTGGAAAAATACCATTTAGAAGCCTCTGTGGTTGCCGAGGGTCTGATTGTCAGACCAGGTGAATATTTAATTTGTTTCGACCGCAATATAGCCCTATTTCTCAACTGGAACCAAGAATTGGTCACCAGCTGGCAGATCCTGCAGCTCACCCTTGATGCTGTTAAGGAGGTCGACGGCGCCCAACGTATTCTGGCCGCACAGCTGGAGCTGGACTTTGTTCACTTCTTGGTTCAACTGCTTCGTCTTAGACGCAAACTGTCGCGAGTCGAATTTTATTCGCTTCATAGCGACCCCACTGCACTGGATGAATGCCTCGGCGTCGCGTGGGTATCACAGCTGACCTGGGACACCCCGGTCACCGTAGGAACATGCTCCTTCCATGAACTGACGCAATCTACCATATCCCCGAATTTCAAAGCTTACGATGCGTATGAAAGGTTGGACGCCAGCGCAACGGAGTAAGAGGAGGAGGGCGGTCGGGGAATGTTTGCGCCCAATATGGCTGTAGGATGTGCTGCAGTCAACGACCGACGGGCTGTGCATCGAATTTTACCAGAATTGCTTACAGTACGGCACTCCTTAGGGACCGTAGTTGAAGGACGGATAGAGATGGGCGGCATTGTACATATTGTATTTTGTAGACCAGGAGAAGCTTTAGAATTGTTCAGAGAAACGGCCGCGCCCTGTTCAACAGCGCCGCAGCAGACCGCAGCAAGAAGAAGTGCCCTAAGAAGCATAGAAGAATCTGGTATCGTGGCACTGAACGAAGCTATCAGTCGACACATTCTCCACTCCGATGCCCTCTGCTTAAGGTCTGTGTCGATTCCAGGGCCACTCGATTCTGTCGAAGCCGCGTCTGCGCCCCCACGGGAAACAGAAGCCCACGCATGTCGGAAGTGAGTGCGTAAAAACTTCACATGCCATTGGCTTGGACGAAGGGTTCTTTGCGCAACCAAAGAGCACGCTTTGGTGCACGCACCTAGGGGCAACGCAGTCGGTGTCCGCTAAGACTGAATCCGTGAAATTTACTATCAGTCTCAGGGCAAGTTTGAGGCAATGGTCTAACCAGCAGTTTGTTGGATTTGAATCGCAGCTGAAAGTGTGATTTAGGGGGGAGGTCGCCTTGAATTCACGCGTTTGGACGTAATTTCGGGGTAATTTTTTGATCCAACGGCGGCATGAACAACAGCTGCAGTAACTCGGTGTTCAGGCATTTGGACCACGCCAGCGCAAATTCAAAGCGCACAGCCCATTCCAAAGTGTCCCGGAGGTTGGGAGGAACAAAAACAGATGCCCTGGACAAGGAACTGCGGGAAACGAATGGAGGTGGGGCGTTTAACGTGAATTTTTGGTTCAAGCGACCCATGCGCAACTTCAAGGCACCACACCCCATTTCAAACTGTCTCCAGGGGTCGTACGAACGAAGAGAGATGCCTGGACAATGAACTGTCAGAACTGAATGAGGAGAGGGCGTTTAAATTTCTCATTTAAATGGCCGTACTAGTGACTGCAGCGCAACTCCCAAGTCCTACGCGCCATTTCAAACTGTCCTAGCGGCTCGGAGGATCAAAAACAAATGCCCTGGATATGAAACAGCGAGAAACGAAGGGAGGTAGGACTTTTAAACTGAATTATACGTTGAATCGCGAGAACGGCGACTTCAAGAAGGGGAGAAATGGTTGCAGGGAGGGCGGTTGAAATGGACACGGGCAGCGGTGTATGAATTGGTGAAGCTGTTTCCCTGTTTGGCCGCTATATTCGCAAGATTGCTCTCGCCTGAGGCCGAAATCGTTCCTGCGTCACTTGCGCCCAAAAAGGCAATGCCTGCGTCGTTTTCGTGAGAGGTCAATCCCAGCGATAAGTTCGTGTCAAGGGAGTTGCGGGTGACTTCCCGCGGCTCACACAATCAATATGGCTGCGTCCACTTCACCTGGGCCGTACGCGATGCCTCGAATCCTAGGTCATTGAAGTGGTACATCGCTGCTAACATCCAGACATCCACACGGTGTGATAATGAATGAGCTCTCGCAGGGGCATCAGTCATTTAACTACATGCGATGACTACGGCAGCGCGAGAAACGGATGGGGACAAGGCGTTTTGAAATGAAATAAATCCTGCGAAAATCGCGATAACTTGAGCGTGCGGCGCAACCTCACTCCACTACGCCACAATCTAGAGTGTCGCATATTGCGCCAGACATGAAAGCAGATGGCCTGGACATGCAACCATGAGAAATGAATGGGGGCAGGGCGTTCAAAGTGAAGTACGAGTTCAACCCATCGCAGCGACAACACTGCAACTTCAAGGCGCGGCGCCCCACCCAGCGAGTCACAGTGATGGCGGCAGACGCGCTGGCCATGAGAAATAAATGGAGCTACGGCGCTGAACCCGAATTCTATGTTGAATCGTGAGTGTAGCGCCGACATCGCAACTTCGAGGCGCCACACCGCCTTTCAAGTCTTCTAGGGAGTGGTAATGATGGAGGCAGATGCCCCGGACAAGAAATCGCGAGAAATTAACGGAGGCAGGCGTTTAACGGTAATTATTGGTCGGTGGGCATGGCACGCGCTCCAATACTGGGCGTGATCGGGTAACGGGCCAAAACAAAAAATGCGATATATAGCTACGGAGCCACTGTTGGGGAGACAGATTCTCAACAGACAGTGGGTATTCTTCTTCAGAAAGTCAGGTTTCTGGGGCCACGGGTCAAACAACGGCGCAACATTGGAAAGGATGTTTTCTAGCGCTTTTGGTGCGCAAGTAGTTTGGTTTGGTAGGTAATGTCGTGAATACTAGTTGGTGCTCATCAAATCTAGGGTGCAATGGAGCTCAGATTATGTCCCAGGAGAGAGAGGAAATCTGCGCTCCTTGCCAAAATGGAGAATCACTCAGCATTTCACGCATGATCTTGTGCCACACTTACCCGCGGTCCGATTCTAATTTCTGACCGCTAGAAGAAAAAGCCGGCTGACCGATAGTCAGTAAGGAGGGCGGAGAACGTCG